GGCAGCTATTTACTACCGCCTCGATCTGTTCGTCTGGGTGCGGCCACCATAGCACGCCCCACGCTATCCTCTTAGATCTCACAATGCCTTGGTGCGTGAAGTGCAGGCGGGCCAGGGCGTCCTGGCGGAGGGCGGCGGGCACACACACGCGCTCACCCCACAGGACGCAGTCTCTAACCAATGAGATTTGGTCCTTTTTCCTCCAGAACACCCCGGCCTCGCCCTCGGGCTGCTTCCGTAGCCACCCCACCCGGGCCAAGTCGCGCACCTGTCTCAGCACGGGGTCCCTTTCGGTTTCCTCCGCTATGAGCGCCGCTGTCACCACGGGTCCGTCCGACCTCTTTTTTCCCTCCGTGTCGATGTAGTTGATGTACATGATGGGTGGTTGCGGCGGGTCCTCCGTGGGGCCCGGCAGGGGCAGCCGACTGAGCGCATCAGAATTTTCGTGTTGTGGCCCCGGGCGGTATTTCACCTCCATCGAATAGGCCGACAACGTCATTAACCATCGCAGGATACGAGCACTCGTCACTGCTGGTGTCCGACCTCCAAACAACCCCACCAAGGGCTTGTGGTCGGTCCAGACAGTGAAGGTCCTCCCGAACACGTACTGGTGAAATCGGGTCACTCCGAAAAACCACGGCCAGTCCCTCCTTGTCGTACTGCCCGTACTTCCGTTCCGCGCTGGTCAATGTTCTTGACGTATGCGCTATGGGACGCTCCACCGTCTCATCCCCCTCTTTGACCACGTGGGCTAGCACGGCGCCTACGCCATAAGGGCTAGCATCCACTGCTAGGACTAGGGGCAGGTCTAGTGAGTAGTGCACCAACACTCGGTCACTACACAGGATCCCAATCGCGGCCTGAAACGCCCCCCTTTGCTTCTCCCCCCACGTCCATGTGGATTCGCGGGGGAGCAGCTCATACAGGAAGCGCCAGCAGCTCGGCTCTCATCGGGATAAATTTCTCGTAGAAATTTATGTTCCCGAGAAAGGATCGTACTTGGTCTTTATCCTGGGGCTCCGGGGCCTATAAGACGCCATCTAACGGCTCGTCCCCATCTTCAACGGGCTTCTTCAATTTTAATCCCTTCACAAGCCGCATGCGAGTGACAAATGTTCTCTCCCAAGCAGCAAGTTGTTACGTCTATGCCGAGAGAAATATGTCAGCTAAAAAAGGGATATTGTTTAGATTTTATAATTCTATCACGGATGATTATGATACATAGAAAATAGCCCAACAAACCTCTGATTCAGTGGGAAACACCTTACAAATATCTTTTGCCTTTTCCTCCCAAAGAGACGTGCTCAACCTGAAAGAAAACATACATCTTAAATGGAGCAAAAATTAAAGGAGATATGAATATAGATGTAACCTGATCAACAGATCTATAGACATGTTAACCTTACTTTACTTGGTAGTCATTTTGAAAAAGTGAAAAGATTATACAGATAACAAGCTGGTCCCTGCGTGCATTGCACAGTATTCCATCTTTCTTACATGTGCCGAGCACAAGCTGACCTTCAATAGATTGATCCAGAAGTAAGTCAATTTCCTGCAGCATTCAAATTAAGTTGTGCCCCATTAAAGCCTGAAGCTTCACTTTTATTTTTGACGTCAAGGCCTTCCCATGTCAAAACATGGCAGGGCAGAAATATTTGAAACTTCAGAAAAACCTACATTCACATATGATGGGCAAAGTTTCCTTTTCTTGTTAGCAGGCTGGCCAGCATTGCTGCTACCTGATAATAGGAGAGCCGAATTAGCACAGTTCACCAGAATAATGAAACTTCAGAAAAATATGAAATAACAATACCAGGTGTAGGTGTTGGACATGTAATAACATTCGCATTATTAGAAGCAAGTGGAACGGAAAGAACCGAAAGAACATCATCATCTGCCTCGATCACAATGTTTGGTATCATGGAGGAATTGGACGCTGAAATATCACAGATTAATTGAAATGTTGTAAATAAAAAGAAAAGTCCAAATAGAACAAGATCAACTAAACATAATAAGGTTACCATGTTGAACTTGTTGAATAGGCTTGTCCTGGAAGCATTTGGAGCGGGAGGGCGTGCTTTTCTAAATAAAGTTTCCTCTCAGCGAGGAATGTTGCCCTGGGTCCTTCCTTTGGGGTGAGCCTGGAAATGGCAGAATCTCCTAAAACCAATGCTGCTTTCAAATCGACTTCTTCTCTTCTGAAAACAAAAAAGGTGAGCATGAGACATTAACAATACAATGTGTGCACGAACTAATCTTCGTGCATCCTATTATCGCCTATTATCGGTTTGAACGAGAGCGAGAGAGAAAAAAACAATAAGAAAGTACAAAAAACTTCCAAAGCGGGGCTAAAAGTAGTCAATACACCATGAAACGCAGTGGTGATGACCGTCTATCGTGTACTACAATAACCTAATCGGAGGTTAGGTCTCACATGAATTATTTCCGCCATACACATTCTTTGAAAAACATGACAGAAACTAATTCAATAGGAAACTGAAGTCGAATACAGGCATCGAGTATAATTACGCCGAAAGTGGGTGAGAAAAATAGCCAAATAAAAAAAAATCATATTAGCTAGTGCTTCGAGCACGTACCTTCGTAGACGCGGAGAAAGGAGGGAGCCAGTCCCCAAGTCGTGAAGTCGCTGGCCATGATGGCAAATTGTTCAGTACGAGATGAAAGAATGAATGAGCGATGGGGCTATCATAGCGATGCAGGCTGCCCGGTGTCGAGGGCACTCAAGTTTGCTGCAGGAACGGACTATCGAACGATACACTCGACGGGGTTCTCGGTCAGTGTGGTCACTCAGTTCGTGTCGGTGAATCGGCCCCAGCCGCATCCCGTAACCAGCCCGGCCAGTAGCGCGAAATTTGGTTGTGACTATCGAGCCGACCCTACGAAGCGAGTTGTAACACGAGAGGTATCTTAGCCGGTCGCCACAACCAAGCGTGTCGATGCTTACAACTAGTTTACTCTCAAGACAATCTGGTCACCACGACCAACCCCCTTTTTCCGTGCAAGCAACTGTATTAAAGCTAAATTTGACCAAATTAAAACATATTCATTTCATTACATTCAGTTTTATTAAATTAATTAAACTATATACAGGTTATGTTTAATCTGTATATCCTGCCGTATCCTGCCCTATGTTATAAAATGTTATTCAAATCGATATGATCGGAATCGTGTTAGGAAGTTTCGACAGTTTCGATATATATCGAAAAAAAAAAAGACCTGCGGAATGGGTTTCACAAAAATAAGACTTATAACTGAGGGTGGTAAAAAAAAAATTCCTGTGATGGGGGTCTGTCTTGTTGAGTTCCAAAGTAGCTGCCCTACTGTGGTCGTAGAATTGTTACTCTACCTCTGCCCAGTTTGACGTCAGTGCAAACATTGTGAACTCCGTTACGTTTTGAAAAACTTAGTGAGAACGACTTTGGTCGTCTCCTGACGAAATATAGAAAATATTTCCACATCGAAATTTATTCCTTATGTTCCCTGGATATGTCACTCCAGAAATGTAATGTGCCTTTGACGACTATCCCCTTAAAATTGTCCGCAATTTAGCAAAGTCCGCTTGAAGTCATTAGAAGCGTACTGGAGTTCACATTTTGACCATTTAAACTGCTCAAGTCACCCACTTTTGCAGTTTTCTTAGGTTTTTAGCCCGCCCTTCTGCTTTAAAAAAAAAGCATTTAAGCGGGCTTATGCAACAACCGCTCTCGTGTCCGTCCGACCGTCCGTCGTGCGTGTAAGAGGAAGGAGATGAGATAGAGGTCTGAAAATGTCAGGGTATCTTAAGGTTCACTCCCTGAAAACGAAACGCCTATGGCAAATCCTGTCAACCACCCCTAAAGGGGGTGAAAGGGGATAACAAAGAAATTGGGGTTGGTCCAAAAAGTTGATAAAAATATTTTGTTTATGGTCTTCTAAGGGGTAACTCTTAAAAGTAGAGTCCTTTGGGCGAAACTTTTGTCCGTTTGACTCTATCTTGCACTGTTTGGGCGCTAGAGTGCTTTTTTCGACGAAAATACGGCGGATAGACACGATTCACATAAAGACGTACAAGGAGGCGGCCAATCGTAAAATGTCAGAGGAAGTTCCCCCCCAAAACAAGACATTGTGAATCAGGGTCTACCCTCGGATTTGCCGTATCTTTCACTGTTTCGGCCCTAGAGGTGTATATAATGAAAACAATGTCAACTTAAGTTTTAAGACTGTTTGACACAAAATAAAATCTAAAAACTTCACTGGTTCATTTTTCTTAATTCTTCAGTAAATCAGAAGGGTGAGGTGTAGTCACGGTGTTGCCCCGTTACAGTATTTTGTTATGTCCAACGGGCAAAACTCTAGGGCCGCAGGCCCCCCGCCGGAAGCCTAACTTTACTCAAATATTCAAAGTGATTATTCACATTATTATTAAAAGTATATGACGTACTAAAAGATATTATAAATATTTAAATATTACGTTAGTAGTATACATCTAGTATTATAGGGTATTCAAAGATACTATACAGAATAACAGGTAATTTTTGGAAGCTATAAGTTCTAGTGCCACTTTCCAAGTGTTCTCAATCTAAGATTCCTGGGTTCATGGATCTGGAGACGAACTGTAGTCAGAACTTATTCGGCTATAGTATTGAGTACGGATTATTACATCGGGTTCACGTAGGTTGACTCAATTCCTTACATCACATTTATGCTTCAGTTTTAAACATGTTGTTTCTTGTTATTTCTTAGTGTTAAACCGCTTCAGTTGATGAAAACTTAGGTGTTGTGTAAAAGCAGGGGTCCGAGTGCGAAAGTATATTGGGAAAAGTTCCTACTCAAAATTTGGTAAAAGCGGTATAGGAAAATAGTATACGAGGAAGTGCGTAGTTGGGGAAAAGGATATTAGGAAAACTATATTAGGAATTTTGTACGGGAATCGAGGGAGCACTGTAAAGGAAAGTAACCACCAAAGTAGAACAAGTTTATTTAAAACAGGGACGACCAATTCAAGGTCAAATGACGTGTTGACCTAATTTGACATTATTTTGACGTCAAAATTTTCCTCTTCTGATCGTTGAAGATAAGTCAAGGTGACGGGTAGATTTTACAGCAAGGTGTTTTCTTTTGCCCCCTTGGCTGAGAAGGCATAGAAATTTTCATTTGAGGCCTGAATGTTTGTAAATGATCTAACTGTAATGATTGTTTCAGAACCTCGTACAGAAAATAATAAGGCTCTTTTGATGCCAATTGTTTTTTTATCCCTTTGCTTGGTACGGAAATGTTAGCTGTACAGGCCGCAGAGGCTCGGTAGCATGTAATATGCCATAGGAAATGAAAGTTCACATGGCCAAATATTGCTACTCATGGTGATGAAATTTAGCTCCAACCATTGGCTTGTAACGAATCAATCTTGAAAAGGTCTGTTTGTAACATTGTAATGATAAACGTTGCTGTGACTCCGACAATCTGGAATGGTAAAGTACAGCACAAAATTAGCAAAGGACAATTTTTAGATGTTCTTTCCTTGATACCGGACCCATCTCTTGGATGGAGCGTCTAACCGCTCGGTCAGCTCGTCAAAACGCCTAGGGTCAGGTATGGAAAAAAGGGGTCATTTCCAGAACTTTTGCCATTTCCATCGTTTAAATGGTTATTTAATAAGTCATGTGTCTGGCCGATGAAACGTGACCCTAGTAATGAAATTAAAGCGTTATTTTAGTGCCGCAACCTCTAGTGTATGCAGAATACGAGATAGAATGTGTCTTTTCCCCAACACGCATTTCCGGGCAAAATGAGACAGGCACAAACCCAGCAAAAATGATAGGGACCCTCCTTGGGGGAAAACAAGACAGCGCCACTCCATTTTTATTGTCTCATTTTCCCCCGCATTGGCTGCCCATATAAAGTCAATAGGACCGGGTGTATCCTTCTTTTTTTCCCCACGAAAGTGTCTCATTTTTCCCCGTTCACTTATGGTTAGTCGTACTGACAGAATTATAATTCAGGGAAGTGGTATAGCTTTGCGGAACCGCTAAAATCCCTGTTTTACAACGAACTCGTACACTTAATCTTTACTCCTAAGAATCAGAATGCAGTAGTGAAAGTATAATACCTCTGCAGAAAAGTTTGAGAGCCCTTGCGTTTAGGCAGTCAGACAGGCTCTCCATTATGTATGCTTCGTGACGAGGACCAGCGATTTAACTTCCCAGAACCGCTTTAAAATTGAAGTCGAATACGAGAAGTGTATTAAAACAACAGATGACCTAACAAATTTCGTATGAAACTATAATGAATGAGGGTCCACCAAGTAGGTACGCGCAACCGATTGACCTCCTTGAACGTGAGAGTGGGGAGGAGGGGGTCAGAATACATCGTTAATTTGTTTTGGTAAATACACAAGTAGAACAGTGGCTAGAGGGGAGGGGGGTTAAATTTATGTGTTCGTACAGTTCACATACAGGACATGAGCTATTGTCCCACTCCTATCCCCCCTGCCCTCCCCCTACCTTACTTACCCATTTCTATAATTATATAATTTCATCCTAACCAAATCCATTTATTAGTGAAAGGTAAAATTTTATTAGATTGTCTCTGGTTGAAATTGATTTCTTTACCGTAATATTTAATTCAATTTTAAAATACATTACAACTTCTCTCCCACGACAAGTATAACTTGTTACTCTTTCATTCATTTTTATCAGATCCCTCTGAGGCATTTGAAGGATCACGATTCACTAAAGTATATTTAGATAAGTGTTCTAGAATGTATTTTCCTATAGAGTTTAATATCAATGCTCCCACTATTTTATCGGATTCCGTTTAACATAATATGACTGCAGTCAAAGCTAGTCTATTTAAGAAATTTATATACATTGTTCTGATTTTGATGGGCCTGTCCTACCTAAGTTTGCGATGTTCCGTATAATATTGTTCGATCCCTTGCAAGTCCATGGCTATTGAGAAAATAAGTTGTGTGTTTAATAATCGTTTTGACATGTCGTATTAAAAGATTAGGAGACTTCCAATCATTCTACTAGTAAACACAATTCCATTTTGTAAAATTAACAATTTATTTTTAAAGAAGTTCCCCAATTGAAAGTGTGATACAAGAATTGGACTCATTTTGCAAAATTAAAAAGGAAATGTCTTATGCTCAAAGCCAATCAGAGTCGAAATAGCAAAGTGGTCCTCAAACTGACAAAATTCGACACTTGAAACCTACAAGCACGGAGTTCGTGGAGTCTCCGCATAAACCCGTAGTTCCAGGCAGCTCCGTACAGACACGCAGTTCAGCGGGTCACCGTTTAACGTCGTAGGTGCTTGAAAGCCACTTCTGAGATATAGCTCTTCAAAGTTTTGGATTTACATTGAGCCTTGTATGCGACTGGATTTTTGGACCAGAATTACTTTTGAACTAATTGACATATCGAAATGCGGTTTTCGCTGATCGATAGCCCCTGGTTTCTTCTATCCGACGCACTTCATAACTTGAAATTTTCAAAAAACATAGTTACGACGTTTTACGGCGGCTTGCTGAAATTCGTGTTTGTACCGAGCCCCCGGGAAATTCGTGTTTATACGGAGCGTCCACGAACTCCGCGTGTATAGGTTACAAGTGTCGAAAAGTGCCAACAATGGACTCCGCCTGGATTGTGGCTGGCTTAGCAGAGAATCCCCTAGTCTAATCCATAGTGATATGAACAACTCCATACCTTACTCCGCCCACATCCAGGGCAAATTCAGTTAAGACCGGATCAGCTCAAAGAAAGTATTTTGGCCAGCAGTGACTGGCGAGCGAATCAGATCGGTGCACTGCCCGCTCTCTCCAGCGACCCGCTCTGGCTCAGTGGAGAGCGCCTCGGGCAGCCGCTTCCCAGTCGGGGGTTCAACACGGGGCAGGGGAAATGCTTTTAAGTTCCTTTGTTTGAGCTCCGGTCTTGACTGAATTTGCCCTGGATGCGGGCGGGGGAAGGCGAAGGCATGGCTTTGTTCCGTGTGGCTCCGGGTCGAGGCGGTGGTAGCTGTGATTGAGGCCCAAGACGCCCGCGCTGGCGTGGCGGTGGCATAGCGTCGGGGGAAAAGGTTTTCTAACGTAACTTTTGAGGTCGTTATTGTTGTGTTATTCGTAACTTTACTTACTTATGTCTTTTCGGGGACAGTTTCAGACCTGTAACGTTACAAATTGTAACAGAGTGACTTTTACCATTTCGTGTCGGTACGATTCATAACGTTACATCTCAAAGTTTGTGTTAAGTTCGTTCCATGAAACATTTTTTGTTTAACCAGTCCGAACTGTTACAAATTGTAACCGAACCGATGATAGACCAGTTCTGTTACCGTTATTTGTACCGTAACGGCAAGAGAACGAAACTGATCGGTTCACTATGTATTTTGTTACGTAACGGCAAAGCGGTAAGTTACTGGTCCCTGAAAATTACACGGGGGTAGAAACTCGAGTCTCATCATCTGCAGATGGTTCCCGCGCCACCATACCACTGCTGACGTATCCCCGCTGAGGCTGAACACCCCGATTATATTGTAACGTCCATCCTGCTGCTCGATGTCCCAAGTCAGTCTGCTACACTGCAACAAATGACAACGAGCATCGCCTATTATGGAAATTTCATGGCCACCTCAGGATTAGGACCCCATCATCGGCAACGGAAACATGCTGTTTTCGTTGCGTGTAGGTTTCCTCATCCTGGGGCAGAGAAATATCACGACTGTGTTAAATTAAACAAGTTCTCTAAAGTACTGTAAAAGTCGAGTGGGCCACCACTTCGACTGAGGATGTACGAAGGATTACGTGATTTCAGGGATTACCAGGGGCGTAGGAACGTTTTTTGGCCAGAGTGGGACGGCTTATTCGACCCTTTTCGGCGCCCCATTACGGCTACTACTAGTACTAGAGTGTAGGTTGGGAAGCACTTTCTCGATTTTGAAAACTCCTTACCTCCTATATTACTACATTTTCATTGCAGTTTCCGAGAATATTTTTTTTTTTTTTTGCATACATGACCTTCAGGTCGCAACTTTTCCTCAAAGTTGAAAAAATCGCTATTTTTCCATTTATATGTCAGCTTTGCCCGGATATCTACCAATAGCATTAAACGTCAGACCGGTGCCAAATGTTTTCAGTAGGCACAAAATTAAGTTTCCAGCCTCTGTGGGTCATGGTTCCAGAACGAGGGAATCATACTTCGGAAAAGAGTAATAATGACCGAAAATGCATCTTTACGGGGGCGGGTTTGGCGCCCATTCCGTGTGCTCAGGGGCTCACAAGATTTAAATAATTTGTAGTTTCATCTCTTTTTAGAGCCGCCCAGAGCAGTGCAATTCGAATAATAGGACACAACCAGTACACTCACTGGGAAGCGAGTGTCGCATAGCACCGGTACTAAACCACGGTCACTAGAATTGGGATGAATAACTCAAGTATGTAAAGTGACGTTCATTACTACCCACAACTACCAAATTTTTTTGTTTGATTTATTTATAAAGGAACCTACCTACATAATTATTACCAAGTTTTCATCACCCCACTCGGTTTAACTCCTAAAAACAACTA